TTCAGTCTGCAATGTTCAAAACAACAGAAAAAGCCAGAAATCTAGATGTAGTCATAGATTCTGACCTGAGTTTCAACAGTCACATTAAAACAGTTACTAAATCAGCCTACTATCACCTAAAGAACATATCTAGGATTAAAAGAATAATGTCACAGCAGGATTTGGAAAAACGTGTCCATGCTTTTATCTTCAGTAGACTGGACTACTGTAATGGTGTCTTCACAGGTCTCACTAAAAGATCTGTTAGAAAGCTGCAGCTGATTCAGAACGCTGCTGCTCGAGTCCTCACTAACACTAAGAAAGTGGATCACATCACTCCTGTTCTGAAGTCTTTACACTGGCTTCCTGTGTGTCAAATAATTGATTTCAAAATACTGCTGCTGGTTTATAAAGCTTTGAATGGTTTAGGCCCAAAATATATTTCTGACCTCCTGCTAAATTATGAACCATCCAGAACTCTCAGGTCTTCAGGGACTGGTCAGCTTTCTGTCACCAGAGTCAGAACTAAACATGGAGAAGCAGCGTTTAGTTATTATGCTCCAAATATCTGGAACAAACTCCCAGAAACCTGCAGGTCTGCTGCAACTCTTACTACTTTTAAATCCAGGCTGAAGACTTTCCTTTTTGCCGCTGCTTTTAATTGAACTATTAATATCTTAAACGGCACTGTAACTTTTATCCATGTATTTTTTCTTTTAATGCTGCTTTTAAATGCCATTTTCTTAATGTCTTTCATTTTTGTAAAGCACTTTGAATTGCCTTGTGTTGAAAGGTGGTATATAAATAAACTTGCCTTGCCTTGCAACCACTTCATAGATTTGTATTACCTGGAGCTGACTAGCCAAATACCACTGACATGTACAGTAATACACTGGTATTCAGACCCAAATCTGGAGATATCTTTTTAAATAGTTTACAGCCATGATCCAGAAGGAAAATCTGCAGAACCTAGCCACATTTCTGTTGTAATGTGATTGACAATATTTATTTAGGATAACGAAGAAACATCTCTTTTGTTTTAATCTGCGGAGGTGTTGTCAGAGTTCTGCAGATCCATATTTGTGTGGGCTTGTACAGAACACTTTGATAGGAAACATCAATGATTCACTTCAGGTTTTGGACTTGATGTGTGGACTTTCTGAAATGTTCTGATTAATAACCAGATTATAAAGTAATCAGTAGAGTGAAACTACCTACTCTGAAAACAAAACTTAACAATTATGCTTTAGACAGATTTGAGAATTTTTGACTGTGATAAACCAACTTTAGATGGATATCTGGTCCATTTCCCTCCTCAAACAGGATGAATATTAGGTGCTACATATTTTAACGCTGTGAGTGTGTGTGTGTGTGTGTGTTCAGGCATCTGATGGCAGCAGCTCCAGGGACGACCTGCCTGCACAGCTTCTCAGGAGGAATGATCAGATCCGCAAGCTGGAGGCCAAGCTATCAGGTAAGTCCAACATCCACCAGTGCTGCGGCCATAGACCCTATCCTAACTGTTTTATCATGAAATGATAGAAACACAATGCAATCTCTGAATGACCGAGGCTAATGATAATACAAACATTTATTGACTTTATTTCTGTAGCACTTTTCATGTAACACATGCCGCTTAAAGCGCTTTACATATACAACAATGACAACAGAATGAAGACAAGTAACACGTTTAGTGTCCACTTACAAGGACGTTAACACAATTGTAGAGGCCACTGGGAGCAGTGTGTCCAAGATGTGTTCTCTTTTCTTTGTTTATGTTAGAAGCAGCAGAGTTTTGGTACAATATCAAATAACTTTTTTAGAGTTTGGGTCCAAATGCAACATAATATTCCAATCAAATTTGAATAGAAGCATGAATTATTTTTCGGCATCTTGGAGGGTCAAGAATAGCCGTACCTTTCCAATGTTTCTGAGGTGAAATAATGCCACCTTGGTTCCTGCTGATATGAGATATTAAACTTAAGATCAAATCAAAATCAAATCAAGTTTAATTCTCAAGATAGAGTTTAAAATAACAACCAGGGTCGGATTTCCACATTTTTTGGGCAGCTCATCGCTTTTCGATTTGTGACTGACTAATATCATTTGTTTCCTGTCCATATTTAGTTTACGTCATAGAGTAAATACACCAACAACAAGACTTTGGAATGTTATGAATCCAAGATGCCAACGGATAGATAAATTGTTGCAATATGTTTTTGATTTAATCAAGACTATTGTTCATCTTCATAAAAAACAATAGCATTGTTAAAGCTACAGTATATGTATATATATTATACTTCATAAATATAAATATATCAATGCATAGTTAAGCGTGATACGGTAGAAATTCTAAATATATATATTTTTTTACATTCACTTTCTAGATCATCTGAATTTGCCACAAAGTTTGGAATGTTAAGCTCTGTTTGCCTGATGCAATATTCAGCACAAAGAATGTGTTTTTCTAATGATGATCATATTAATGTCTCAGAATGAGCATATAATAATGTGTTGCTGTGTGACATAGTCCTGACATATTTGAGGCTTAGGGTGTTTTTCTCCTTTACTCAGTCTAATAACCCCTTTGTCCTTTGGGTGGCCTATGTGACTTTGTGCCCTTATTAACAGTTAAAGATCGCACACGCAGCCTTTCAACCAGCATGGTTTTCTCAGATAAGAAAACCATTAATAGTTTACCCTTCCATTATTTCTCAATCATGTTTTCCCTTTTGCTTTCTCCTGTGTGTGTGTGTGTGTGTGTGTGTGTGTGTGTGTGTGTGTGTGTGTGTGTGTCATATCATCATCCCCACCTCCCAACACTAGACTACGCTGAGCAGCTACGAATTATGCAGAAGACCAAGGACAAGCTTGAAATTGCATTAGAAATGCAACAGGATTGTACGTACCTCTACTCTCCTCCCAATGAGCTAACTTTCTCTCATCTGTCTTTCTGCTGTTAATAACGATCACCTAGCCTATCATCATCTTCTACCATAAAGATTTTTTTTTTATTCAGAACCTTATATGTCAGTATCAGCTTTAGACGTTTGCTTTGGGAGCGCTGAATGCTTTTACTTCTAATCTAATTCACCCTTAAAACGTTTCTACTATTTATTGGCATATTAATCAGATTAATCTTTGCATTTTCTATTCATTTGTTGGTGTACTCACTTTCTCTCAATCGCCTCACACACCTACGTTAGTTTCCTAGATTTCCTAAAATCTGTGACAACTACCTTAATTGCCTGTTATTTAAAGCTGGACTCATTTGTATGAGCGCTTATGAGCAATAACAACATTTAGACTATTGCAGATCCACATCCATTGTTTATAACATGTCTTATAGCTGTGTTGCACTCTGGTAGATTTGACTCACTTCTATTGCAGGTACTTTTGATAACAATTTTAAGATTATACTGTAAATCTTCTTTGACTCTGAGGTTGAAGTTTTGGTGCTTGATTTGGGTTAGTGCAGGCCAAATATCACAATCTGAGCCCAGTGACAGAGCTGTGTCCCGTTCCTTGGAGACGGCTGTGAGGAAAGTTCCGATGCTTTTAATGAAAAGTGAAGTTACTGTACTACCTCTTCTTATGGTGTTTTTCTGAGTTCACACAATACTTGCAGTGTTAGTTTTTACAAATTGTGCTTTTAGTTTGTGACAGCTGCTAAGCATTGCCTGTCTTTGCTTATGGGATGAACACACTTCCTAATCTGACTCTTACTTTAGACAACTACTAACAATGCCATTGTCTGTGCTATTTAAAATGTCTCTTCTCTTTGGCTTCATAGAAACCTCTCTGTATGGTTTCCATCTTTCCCTTTCTGTTTTCTTTCCTTCTGTCAATGCCCAGCTTCCATAAAGAAACTTCAAGACCAGAACGAGACTCACCAGACCAGCAGAGCCAAAATAGCAGAGGGGATGGCTCTAGCACTGGAGAAGAAGGATGAGGTAAATAACACTCCTGTTTCACTTAATGCACAGTCCTGATTTATGGCATGTCTAGTAATCACTTTCTATACTTTACCTGCAGGAATGGATTGAGAAGATGACTGATTTGGAAAAGGTGGGTTTTTAATTCTATAAGAATGAAAGTAAGCTTATTATGTCTGTTTTCAACATCTTATATAGAAGGGTCAAGGACACAATACGGTGTTTTCACATTATCCTGAGTGATTGACTTTCAGTTGGTGCTGCTGCCCATTTAGTTGGGCTTGCTTCTGCTGGTGGGGAAATGGTCTATTAAGGTCTGGTGCACAGAAAACAACCTGGTTAAGAACCTTAAAACAATCTGGTTCCAGACCAACCACAGGATCTTCTCATAGTAAATACTATATAGGATTTTTAAAAGTTACAACCATGGCATCAAGTATGCCTGTCACCAAGTATCAGAAAGCAAAAAGAATTTACACCAGTTTGTTCTGCTCGTGTCCTACTTTTTCTATACAAGTACGTAAAAGGGGTGACCACAGCTGAAGGGAAACTATTTTAGAACAATATTAATAATTGGTTGAAACCAAACTGAACTCCAGGTATTAAAGCCCACTTTCCCCTTTTACAAAAAATTATTATTATTATTACAAAAACACAAACCCCGTTCGAAGAGGGGGTAGAGTCCCTCCCCATTACCAACAGACCAGCATGCATTTCAGTTTTTTTGTGTGTGTTTTTTCTGGTGGGTCACGTTTGATGTAAGTAGAAGTGGTTCCTTCTTCTTTTATCTGTCACTGTTTCAGTCTATTTCAGACTTTTAAAGTTGGAGATGTCAGAGCAGTGGAAAGACTAACAAATAGGTTTTAATGGGTCTCTTTTTGTTTCTGTTTGAATTAAGTTATTTTATTCAAAATAACAAAACCATTAAGGTACAGTTACCGTTTTCTTACAGGAGCTTTTACATTTATAAATTATAATAATGGTCCAAATACAATTTATTTTCTGTATCCACTGTAAAATCCCTTCAAAGCACGTCACATAGCTCGTGGTGGCGAAAATCACTGTGTCCACCCAGCGTCATGTGTCTGTCACTGCTGATCAGGTAAATACTGTGACTACTGCAGAGTCAGGATTTGAATGCAGAATGTAACTTTTCCTCTGCAGATTCAAAAGCCAGATGTTAGTGGGTGTAAGGGGCTTATTTCTCCAGGGGCTTAGGACTTGGAACCTGCTCATACCCTCAAAATGAACAATGCACGTGTACCATAAATTGGTATAACTGTTGTGTTTGTTTAGGAGAAAGCTGCCCTGTCAGCCCGGCTAGAGGAGATGATGGAGAAAAGCTTAGCACTCTTCCAGAAAAGGGATGACCTGGATGAACTGGAGGGCTTTCAGCAGCAGGAGCTCGCTAAAGTTAAACACATGGTGCGTACATGTGAGCTGGAAGCTTGGATTTACAGCAGTATCATACTGTAATTAGACAAGAGGGTGGAACATTGCTACTACTCAATTCAGATTCTGGTAGTTGCAAATTTTGATTTATTGTATATTTTCTTAATTGTACTCCAGATGGAGTACAATTTAAGATGAAGCACAGCAATACTCAGTATAACATTTTCTAGATCATTTAGACTGTTCCACAATATATTAAAATAGCAGAAAACATTTATACATATGGTAGTATAAAATGACAGTTGTTATATTGCAATATTACATATTGGCTTGACTTTAGACCCAGAGTCTACATTGGCTTCTTGTATACAGTCTAAGAACACAACTTCATCCCAGTGATGCCGTCAGCTATTGGATGGGAACTTTGAAATTGAAAGGATTTGCTGTCATTTGAATAACTATGGTTTAAAATGATAGGAGAGTCTCTGAGTTTGTTCAGGTGTGATTTTCACCTGGGTTCATATCAGCACTTCTTTTGGCCATGTATGTTCTTTAATTATGATTTGTTTACCATTTGTGTCTATCAGTTGCTGAAGAAGGAGGAGCAGCTGAGCCGGAATGACGAGGAGCTCCAGCAAAAGGAGGCTGAAGTTCAGTCAGCAAAGCGAGGGCTGTCTGAGGTCAGAGGGAAACTCCAGACTCTGGAACAGCAGCACGCAGAGAGCTGCACAATCAACATTGAGCTGGAAATCGAACGGTAAGGAGGAACGCAGCAGGACTGATGGGATTTCTATGCTCATTTATTTTGGCCTGTTGGTTCATCTTCTGAATCAGCTGTGCTATCAGATAGCTAAGCTTTCCCAGACAGAGTCATCCCCAGTGGAACTGCTGGGGATTTGCCTGTTAACTATAAAGTTAACAAACAAAGGAAACTAAAAATAATTAGGGCTGTCAAACGATTACATTTTTAAATCAGATTAATCACAGCTTAAAAATTAATTAATCATGATTAATCACCATTCGAACTATGTCCAAAATACGCCATTTCTTTATGTATATTGTTGTGGGAATGGAAAGATAAATGAAAGAAGGCGGATATATCCATTTAACATACAGTATATTATAACATTGTTTTGTTGGTCAACATGAAAGACAACACACACTACACACACACACACAAGCACACACACAGCACACACACACAAACACACACACACACACACACACCAGACACAACACACACACACACCGACACAGCACACACACACACACACAACACACACCACACACACACACACACACACACAGCACACACCAACACACACATCAATCAATCATCAAACACGTGGGGTCTTAATGCATTGTACGTGTTTTGATTTCTATCAACACGTATATGTTGTGATCACTGTACTTATAGACTGCAATACACCAAAAGTATTCTCCGTTGGTGACTTCCTGCAACAGACACCATCGCTTATCTTGATTCTGATTGGCCAGAAGAGCATTATCAAAGATAGTTCTATTGAGAAGTGACGAGGTTTTCACTACGTGATGCAATAGTTTCAAAACCGGTTTCTGGTGTGATTAAGTGCTTCTGGTATGTTCTCAGACTAAGTTTGCGTGCAATTGTGAAATGCAATATACAGTCTGCATCTCCGTTTGCTGTCCTGTGCAATATTACTCGGTGCGAGTGTTGTCGGACTTTGGTATTGCTTTACTTGAACATACTATTTTTCGCATGGTGGGTTTGTATAATAGTGTGGTGGCTGAGCGATGTTCTGTGGTGATTGGCTGTATGCCGACCCCTAGCGGGTTGCCGACTTGTGTTGTGTGTGTGGTGTGATGTGTGGTGGGAGCTGGTCGTTGTGCTCGATTGATGTGTTAAATTGATTGTTTTATATGTCTATTTTATGTCTCGTTTCCTTTTGTGAAGCTTGTGTTGTGGTGTTTGATTAATACGAGGCGATTAAGAAGGGGTGAGGAGTAGTAGATGCAGGATAAAGGTCGGGGCGGAGGTATAGATTTAAGGACGGGGTGAAGGTGGGCTGTTTTAGTTTACTGCGCGCGGGTGT